CCTGGTGTGTAGAACACAAGGCCACCATAACAAACTTCGACGATCACCGCAGTCAAGTCAGTTCTGAACACCTCGCACGGTCGAAGATCTCTATTGATCTCTCCAATTCAACACAAACGACGCCCAAGTCTTGTTGGCTCGCCTTGATCAGCAGATCAGCGTCGGCCATGCATGCGAGGCTGCTTCTCGATGTAAGTCCCTCATGCATGCATATTATTAGCATGCAGTAACAGGGAAGTCTACAGAGCAGACTGGCGCGTGCCAGCTGAGCCCCACGGCCCGTGCGGCATATCTCCGATGCTCCGCTCTGTAAGTTGGAGGTTGTAGTTTTCACGTGGGTGCGGCCGCTCTCACACAGACCATAAGCCGTACGGCGCTTCTCTGACGTCATCTTTTCAATTCAACGCCAAATCACGGCCCATCGATTAACCTGCAAGTTCAGAGGTGTAAACATTCGGCCACTTAGCCGCATGAACTGCCGGGAGATCCAATCACCTCTACTATATTTTCTGGGTTTAAAATCTGGTCAGCACAGTGACTATTACGAGGTACTAACCATGACTATTTTCACTGCGCACAAGATCGCTTTGGTGGATTGTGATGTGACACTGCGCACAAGATCGCTCTCGTGGATTGCGATGTGACACTGAGCACAAGATCGCTTTGGTGGATTGTGATGTGGCACTGAGCACAAGATCGCTTTGGTGGATTGTGATGTGACACTGAGCACGAGATCGCTTTGGTGGATTGTGATGCGACACTGGGCACAAGATCGCTTTGGTGGGTTGTGATGCGACACTGAGCACAAGATCGCTTTGGTGGATTGTGATGCGACACTGAGCACAAGATCGCTTTGGTGGATTGTGATGCGACACTGAGCACAAGATCGCTTTGGTGGATTGTGATGCGACACTGAGCACAAGATCGCTTTGGTGGATTGTGATGCGACACTGAGTACAAGATCGCTTTGGTGGATTGTGATGCGACACTGAGCACAAGATCGCTCTGGTGGATTGTGATGTGACTCTATGCATGGCTTCAGCTTCTGGGGCTGTTTAGTCTTAACCAAACACAACGGAGAACACATTGTCTTGTGTTGGTGTATGTAATGATGTATTACAACGTACCTTATTTATACATATGCTCACTTATCCCCATGTTTAACTCATTAAAGGAAATGCTCGATCTCGTGCAACAAATGTCCCTGGTGCATCAGCACATCGTATATATTATATATATATATATATATATATATATATATATATATATATATATACGTCATACACGTCTCGTATATGCATATATACATATATATATACGAGATATATACGTATATATTATATATATATATATATATATATATATATATATATATATATATATATATATATATATATTATATATATGCATATATTTAGATTTAGCAAGCAGGTTATTCTTTATACTAGCTTGGCTGAAAATCACAGCGGACCCAACATTTTTAATAGTTTTGGCGTCAACTCTGATGTTGGTCCCAGCAGTGGAAATGGAAAAGGAAATAGAAAGCATTTCTAAGAAAAGCAATGTGCCTTACGTTGAAAAATGACGTCTAGTCCTCACTCCATCCAGCTGTCAAATGGGGTGAGAAGTTTTTGTCTCGTACCTACGGTGGTAATATTCTTAATGCTGCATGGTGCAAGTAAATCATGGTGAGCATCTTCGACCAGCCGCAGCCAACCGGCCCGTCTCATGTCCTGGTGACCGCACCGGTCCCCAGAAGTGCGATGTAAATGGTTAACACTTGCATCCTACACGCCAATTCACTGCCCTGTTTCTGACAAGGCGTAAAATAGAAAGTGCCTTCACGCTGGCAGCATATCTCCAAATGTCATGGAGGAGCTTTCCCCGTGACTTCACCCACCTGTAAAATATTGTTCCTAGGCTGATATTACCAGGAAGTCCATAATCATCTTTAAAGTCTAACTCCCACTGTTACTTTTCAGTTCGTTGTCTGTGGCAGGTTCCGCAATAGCAAAATGACGCTACCATATCGACTGTGGGTGGCGTCACACTGTAAGGAACATCACTCACTCTATCTGCAGCAGCGAACCGCGAAGTTTCAGACCACCGCTTTAGTACATACCTGTTCATGCAACGCGGGACCTTTTTGGGTCTAACTTAATGTCGGCAGCAGCTGGACCATACATCTGCCGCCTGTGACCCCCCCCCCCCCCTTACGGCAATCTGGCGTCCCGTTAGTTGATCCAGATAACTGATCCAACCTGGGCTGTACAAGTGTGTAGGCTACCAACGATTTGCCAACTTTACACTGACCTATTAGCCCACAGACCTCCAAGTAAGTTACAATCATGCCCCTTACTCAACAACTTCCACAACGCATACAACACCCGAATCACTCTCCGATATTGTCACATCTGATGCTGAACAGTGCTATATTTAGAGTCTGACCGCAAGGATGCGTCGCATCGGTCAATTACTGTTTAGTCACGCCGTTTAATTCTCAGTCGTCACCCACGCATCCTAGGTTCCATCACTGTTTTGCTTCGCCCTCTACCGCAACGAACACTTCCACTTCTCTCGGGATAGAATTGCAGACACAGATTAAAAAAGGGTAATCTGCTCAGAAATCTGTATGAACCCACAATGCCCAGCATGAGCCTCAAACCTAATTCCAATTTCTAACCAAGGCAGTGCTCAGCCTTCCTCCATATGCTCTAGTTGCTGGGACCCAGCGTCGATACCTGATATTTCGCTTGCGCTATGTTAGCCCGTGCCATCTGACAGCTCTCACTTGCCATCTGACGGTAGTTTACTGCGATCTTTTGCTCTCACCTGTCATTTGACGGATCGCACCTGCCATCTGACGGCGACGTCAAGACGATACCAATGTGTGGCCTCCCTGCCGGTTTTCAATGACGACACGTCTGTACTCGTACGCTTGCATTGTCTTGGACACCTTGATTCTCGCCTGCAATGCAATGGAGTGATGCGGCGCCATTCTCCGCTACAGCTGACTTGCTTAGCCTAGCCAGCCAGCGTTCCAAAAGCCGTTCTCTCCCAAACCGGCCGTTGGCACACCGACGCCGAGTGATCGCAGCTATCTCAAAACCTTTCACTTGATCTACCTTGTGAAGTCAATATGACATTCAGCCTATCCAAATTATATCTGGGAAGTTCGATCCAAGCCCATGCATTACATTTTAATAGAGAAAATCGCCCTTTGGTTCCGAAGATTAGGAGGGAGGAAACTGCGCTCCCTTGTAAGTGTAGTTCATGGATGCATATCCGAGTATGCTTGTGTCAGTCATTATCAGCTTTCTGTGATAGCTTACCAATCTTTCTTTGTTTGGATTGGTTATCCTGGTGGTACCTTTCCACCCAAGCACCACACCAAACGCAGTCCGTGACGGTGAAACTTAAGTCTACTCCGCCCACCAAAACAGCCCGCACTGTGCACGCGCGCC